GATCATCATGAACAAGCCCAGCGGTGATTGCAAAGAAATGTCTTTGCTTCCAAGAAAAAAAGAAAAAAAGAAAAAAAAAAGTCTTTGCTTGCAGGGCTGCTTTGGGTGCCAATGGGTGGGAAGACGACAACACTTGACAATATTACCTGACTGATTGTCAGATTCTGACAGAGACCTGCAGGCTGGAGTATGTCTCCAGGAAGACTTTGTGTCTTTTTTTGTTTTTTTTTAAAGACTTTGTGTCTGATTAGCATAGTAAGGGAGGATTATTATTTCCTCACTATTTAGCTGTTACAAACAACACTTGAAACTTTCTGGAAGTGGTGAAACGCTAACTGGAACAGCGCACACTGTCGTCACCCATCCGTCCGTCTTTCCCCGAACCATATCGGGAGTGATGATTCCCACTAGCTATAAACAATACCTGAAAGGGCAAGTATTCCTAACTAGGACAGCACAGACTCGCTCCTCCCGTCCTTTCGCAAATCACATCTCAGAGTGCCCCTTCTGTGGGACTCTGGCTTTTTCTACCGTCGCCACCCAAAATATAACGCCTGCTGTATTTGGAGCATCTTTAGTTCAGATGCAACGATAACGACCGGGCGTTCTATTCAGGTAAAGACGGTACGCCGCCGTCCCAAGAGAAGAGCATAGGAATACATAACATAAGCGCCACGAGGTCCTGACAACTGTGTCTCCATTCCTCCCTCCTTCACGATAAACGATCTTCCGGAGAGTTCGTTAACTGTCCACCGCTCTCAATGTGTCTTGCTGGTGTGAATGCGCATCATCAAATCCGAGCAACGACTCCTCATCATTCCGTCCTTTCCTTCACACTGCACCAAGAGCTCCTGAAGCGTGTGTAGATCTCAATGCCTTGCTGGTGTGAACGCACATCTTTTTCAAGCTGCGTAGATCTCAATGCCTCGCTGGTGTGAACGCATGTCTTATCAAGCTGCACAAGCTCCGACCGACTCTTTCCCACTACAACCTTTCCGTCACACTGCACTGTCTTCTTGAGAGCTCCTGAAGCTGCAAAGCATCCATTGCTCTCAATGTCTCACCAGTGTAATTGAGCCGCACAGACTCCGAACAACTCTTCGAAATGCCATCCTTTCCTGCTTCACACCACACCACCTTCCCAGTGTAATCGAGCTTCTGAAGTGTTTGCTGCTTAGCCTGCTGTCAATGGCTTGGTGGTGCGAATGCGCATCAGATTAAGCTGGACAAACACCAGACGACTCTGTCTTTATCCGTTCTTTTCTTCACGCTATTCCATCTTTCCCAGACTTCCTGAAGTGTGCTTTCACTCATTACTCTCAAAGAGTCTCAATGTCTTGCTGGGTGAATGCACATCAGATTTACTCAGCTTCATCTCTGTAGAGAGAGTCTCTACCTCTTATGCGCCGGTGGTTGCAGACAATGTACCTTACCCCAATTAGGCACACAATTTCGCCGCACAAACTCTCCGACTCCATTTCCAGTCAAATTTCCCCAGCTAAGTACAGAACTCCATTTCCCCTTTTTTTGGTTTTTTGTTTCCTTTTTTGGGAAGGAGAGCCTGGAGAGGGTAGCCCCCAACTTTATTGGATTTGAACTCTCATCTGCTTATCAATGGTCATAGGTATGTGCCATTCAGCCACATCTGGAAGGTACTTAGTACTTACTTGCACTCCCATTTCCACAATTCCAGGTGAGGAGCTCTTCTGCACCTCTGTATCTTGTCAACTTCTGATGCAAGGTTCATCATTTTTAGCACCAGCATGTGTAAAAAGGGTTCACGGCGCAGGTTATGAACCACTTATCTGTTTCTCAGACGACGGACAATTGCGCGTCTCCATGATCATGATTCTTCTCGGCTTCCAGCGCCGCTTTCTCGCCCTTTTTGTGCTTGCATCATTTGCATGTGCACCAATGTGCATTATAGCTCAATTGCGTCATTGCCTCTTCTAGATGGAGAGTGATTTTATTAATCACTGTGTCTTCTATCCCCCCTCCCTACATTGAGTCAAGGCCCTGGACCTGGACTGGGGCAAGAAGGTATGACTAGAGGAGATGGCCTCCTGCGGAGGGGCTTCGGGCTGGAGGATGGAGGGGTAGAAGAAGTGGAGGGTTCGCCGGTGATCATGTCTTCCGGGTGCTCCGCCGAACCATGGAACGCAGTATGATAGACAGGGCGCTGTCCGCCAGAAGGGCTGGTTGCCTGCTGTAGAAGATGCGCGGGTATAACATGCTTCCAACGCGATGACGGGGGTCCAATGCGAATGGGAAGTCTTCCGGCCCAAGGGTGCAGCATGAGCTCCTGCATCTGTAAATGAGGGAGGGCGAAGAAAAAGGGGCAAGTACGCTTATGTCAGACTCAGTCAGAGACTCGGAACAGAGTTTGACATGGGCAAAAAAAACACTCGTAAGCAAACCTGGCAAACAAAACAGCCGCCGAGTTTTTTTTTTTTTTTTTT